AAAACAAAACAAAAACAAAACAAAAACAAAATTTAAGGATGGGAAAATGGCACATACTTGCCCTTTGCACAGCTTCATCCTTGATTTTGGGGGTGATCGGGTTTGCTTTTCCATTTTATTCTGTGTAAGATCAATCTTGGAAAAAGTAAATGGAAAACCTCGATTTATATACCATTTTTGAAAGAATAGGTACCCCTTTCAGATACCTTCGGTAGAAATAAATTCATTTACAGGTATTAGCCCTTTTAGGTCGTTTTACTAATGGAAAGAGAGATTTCCCTCCCCTTTTTTATACTTCAGCACCTTCCATATACCTGAAGCCTTAAAAAGGTACCCCTTTCGGGCAAAGCCCCCCTGTGTAGGCTATCATAGGAAGTACACTGTTTTGAAATAAAATTCAGTGCTTCAAGATTTTGATTGAATGTTTTTTCCCTTTTATGCACTTTTTTCTTTTTGTGTGAATGTAGGTTTCTGCATTTTTTATCCTTTGTGTATTGTTTCAAAAAACATATACTTAAAACTAAAAGTAGTGTACATAGTAGCTGCTGTTTAAACTATAAATAAAAGTATTATGCCCTTTTTCTGGAATTTCAGATAAACCCCAATTCCTTGCTGATGTTGTGGGATCTTCTGACAGAGTTGAAAGCCCTCCCAGACCATTCTCCCAAAGTATTATGTCTAGGAATCCTTTTCCATCCCAGGTAAATTCTTTTTTTCCTTTGGTATTTCCTATATTGTTATTCTTACTAGAATACATCATCAGCAGCTATTTGGGAAGAAATATTCATGGTCAAAACAATGAGAGAGAGCAATCGCCTGAAACTTATGGATACTGAACAGGTTCCAGAGGCATTTGAGTGCCCTGCCTTCTTCTGATTACCAAGGAAACGTGGGGAATTTAAACTGTAAATGCTTTGCCCTACAAAGATTCTACTGGGTCTTTGAGGAGGGACTGGTTAAAGGTTTAAAATTGCAATGCCTGGCAACTTAATGGTTGCACTAATACATGTAGGTACAGTACGAGTAGTTTGTTGGTTGTTAGTAATAATAATACTAATACTAATAATAATAATAATAATAATAATAATAATAATAATAATAATAATAATAATAATAATAATAATAATAATAATAATAATAATAATCTGGATGTGAGGTATTAGCCAAAACAGAGTACATCTCCAGGCACAATAATGCTGCAGCATATCTCCATTGGAGCATATGTAAAGATCATGATATAGAGATTGCAGACAAATGGTACGAACACGAACCAGAGACCGTGATACACAATAAAGATAACAACATCACCATCATGTGGGACATGCCAGTCAATACTGATAGAACTATAACAGCGAACAGACCAGATATCATCGTTAAAGATTCAGTGAATTCCACCTGCAAACTTATTGATATGACTGTTCCATCAGATAGAAACATCGCACTGAAGGAAACTGAAAAAAAATGCAAGTACAAAGACCTAGAACTAGAAATACAGAGAATGTGGCATATGAAAACCGTAGTGATCCCTGTGGTTGTTGGTGCGCTTGGTACAGTGAAGAAGGGTATGGTAGAAAACATCAAGAAAGTATCAGAGAGAGCTAGTATGACAGAGATTCAAAAGATCTGCATGCTGGGATCTGCACGAATCCTTAGAAAGGTGCTCAGTGTATGAACAGAATGATTGACTTGAGTGACTGACGCTCTAGGTGCATGGTTTGCGCCCGGCTGATGCGCAAAAAGAACACCAGCAAAGACTGTGATAATAGAGATAATAATAATAATAATAATAATAATAATAATAATAATAATAATAATAATAATAATAATAATAATAATAATAATAATAATAATAATAATAATAATAATATACACACTGCAAAATTATTGTTTTTTTTTCTGTAGACAAGACTAAGAACTCTCTCAAGCTTTAACCCTCCTCTGGATCCAAGTACTTTAATCAATGCTATAAAAATCCAGTCTTTGCCTTTGAACCACAGAGCTCCTTCCGCCACTACCTCTCAGTAAGTGTGTGTGATAGTTTCATGGCTGTATATAACAATTATTATTCACTGAAGTGGAGGTGGCTAAACAACTTTTTCACCGGTTTCATCGATAAATTCAAGTCAAACACACAAATCTTTACCTGTTAAAACTCCCCAACCGAATTTTGTCACCTTCTTCGTGTATTTCAGCAAACCGGGTTGCTCGTAACTTATGCGAGTTTGGCATCGCTCTCTCTGAGGAGCTGTAGGTGAATCAGTGAATAGCACTGGATATCTCGAGTTTGACTAGCCAATCAGAGCGCGTGAAAAATGCTATCCACTGTTTTAGAAAATACTAAAACATCATTCTGAATAGCCACTAGTGTAAATCTGCATGTACACTGTAAAGCGGTGTGTGATTTCAGTACAGTACTTAAACTGTCGCCCTTAGTACAGTCAATACTAACTAGAAGATTTGATTTCATCTTGTAGTGTTCTTGACAGCAGAGAAGGGACACCCTTTAATCAGGTTGGTCTAAAAAAAAGAAATATAAAAAGAACAGTTGCCTGCAAGCTATTCTAATTAAGAGGCTTGTGTGCACCTAGACAAATCACCTAGACTTTAGCCCAGTCAAAATGTTTCACAATAGTAGGAGGAGCATGCGGCAAAGGTCTAAACTTGTGTGGTTTTAAACCTAAATCCTGACTAGGAGGCAAATATTTCACTGAAAGCGGCAAAATTGCCGGCTGCCTGCTCATTTTGACTGAGTTGTATTGTTTTTTTTTCAGGGTCGCCCTGGTTCCAGTAGCACAGTAGCGTCACGTTCAACAGCACGGATTGGTGGCCACAGCTCAGACCCATTTATGCATAGAATACCACAGTTTAAGAGAAGGTGATCATCCAACCCCGACCCCACTTCCTCAACAGACATTTTTTCCTTGCTTGTAATGGTGCTTTTTAAAGTAATTCCCTTGTTGTCATCACCTACTGTGCATAACAGTTCGACATAAAAGGTGATACCGCAGTCGTCTAAAGAGAGGTAGAAAAAGCCGCTTTTGTTGTTCAAACTGACCACTTTTCTTGCATTTTTACGAGATCGGATAATTTGAAATCACTTTACTGAAAAACTAAAGCCCAGACAAACAAACAGGCTCTAGGCTTTAGTAAGATTTATGGTTTTTGCTATATGATAAGTATTTTCATTTTACGGTTGTTAAAGTTTCAAACATTTCGCGCGCAACGAGGTAAAAGCTCTTAGAATTTAGGGCACGCAGGGTGAAAGCAAGCACGGTGACCCCATCTTTTTATTGCAGTTTTTCAAAATCCTATAACAAATATCTGGCAAATATTTTTATATATATTTTCTGGATAGTATATCCTTTTCAAGGGAAATTACCTTAATTAAGGGGTCTTGAAATAAGGTTATAAGCAACTTACAAAAGCAAGAGCTTGACTGCTTGAAAAGCTGTCTCACTGTACTGCGCAAAACTCTTGCAGTTTCGTTCAACCAAAGAAAGTTTTTGTTATGAACTGTTAGTTCCATCAAGACAAAGTATATTTTTCTAACTTGTGTAATTGCTTGTTACGAATTTTTAGAAATTTACCAAGTATCCTACGTTTGACTCACATGGAGACTAGTAAACCTAAAACACCCAGTGTACAGGTATGCTCGATAATATTTACATATAATATAGCTATAGATAAGGGAGCTTGTGCTGAGTAAGCAGAGCTATACGCTATTGTATAGGTACAGGTTTTGATCAGTCGTCGTACACATTGCGGATCTTGTTTTAAAGAGGAGCTGTGACACGAAATTTATCAAAATTCTAGCCTGCGAGCAAGCTCTCCAAGGCGCTCTGGCGGCACAAGTTCCATAGCGAATAAAAATGCTTAACTGGCATTTTTAACGAAATGAACTAGATAGCCGAGACACAGCCTTGACACAGCCGTGACACAGCCCAGACACAGTGCCTTTACAGTGTTCGAATTTGTTGGTTTGGAGCTTCAAAATTCATACCTTTGTCTTGACAAAATCATAAGCGTATAACAAGCAAAAGTGATGAAACGTTTATATCTTTTCTTTTTATAGGATGATGTTATGGGAAATTTTGTTCAAGGAAAGAAACTATTGTGAGTCTTTTGACTGTGAAAGCTTTAATAAGTCTTGTTGATGTGGAAGAGTAATTCTTAATTATTTATATTGGTCAAGATCTCTTGTTACCTGGGACAATTGTTTTTTGGTGAAACAGAACTGTAGTTGTTGGTTAGTTAGCGGCGAATTTTTTTTACAGTTTTAGTTTCATTAACATATACTTCTTGTTCCCTGTAGATTTCCCGAAAAAGAAAGACTCTCATCACCACCGCATCCAAGTTCCAGTTCACCTGCACCTTACAATGTAATGTAAGTATAACAAGTGCCAGCTGCAAATTAAGGACTTTGTGTCTTAGTTTTCGAGGGAAAGAAATTGAATGAAACTGTAGTTTCTTGTTCTTTTTAGCGAATGATTCACTACTTAAAAATTGTCAATCATTCGCTAAAAAGAACAAGAAAACATCTTTAACATTTTCGTGATCATTTTGTTGGCCTGAACTCCTGACTCACTGAATAAGTAAGAAAACACCTTGAACATTGACTGTCGCTTTCAACACTGATAACGATACTATAACTAGTTTCAAGTGAACTACCTCAACGCAAAAGCAAGCTGAAGCGCCGAATTCCACTTTCTGCGGTGGTGCTTGCGTTTGTTTTTCCGTTTTTGCTTCACACGTGTGAACCGAGAGAATGCTCACGCAAGCGTCAGCCGTTTAAAATTATTTGGCCAGTCGATTATGAAGCCGTCAACTAACCCTTGTTCCGTTCTTTTTGCTAGGGGCAAAATAATTCTTCCTCCCCTAGATCGGTTTACAGCAAGGGAAGCAACGGCTCCGCAAAATGGAGGAAGGAATAGCGCGGTAAGGAGAGTTTACTTGTTAATCAGCCTATTACAGCCAAGAGACTTGCAAGTATAGAATACCAGTAGTTCATCTTATGTCTTACAATTACTGTTCACAGAAACATGTCTCTTATGATCGCGCGTCGAGTGCAGCGACAGACCGTTCCAGGTGAGTAACAAAAGTTCTGTTTCGTTTTATATATTATTCTGAATTTAGACCAAGCAGTTAGACGGTGAAACAAGATTTATGATTCTCTTTGTGAACTGTGTTGTAATATCTCTAACTGCATGTAGAACATTCCGCGCCACAAGAGGTGTTATTATACATTGTACTCACTATCTGTCTTCTCATTGGAGAAGAGCCTACAGCTAATTTTGGAAATCAGCACAACCTACAGATTAGTCAGTTATCTGCTAGCAGATAACTAGTTAGTTATTAGTTAGTTATCTGCTAGCAGATAACTGACTAATCTGTAGGTTGCGCGCGCAATGCATGATTTCCAATAACCTTATCACTTCAGGTTCCGTGAAACGGTTTGTTTGTCGTTATTTTCTTTAAAACAATGTTTAATAAAACAATGATTAGATTCGGTTTTTGCGATATCCTAAAATAATAATCAAGGTCTCGGTAAGTGTTATCAGCCTCGGCTTTGGCTTGGCTGATAACACTTACCTAGACCTTGATTTGTTCGAATATCACAAAAACCTCATCCAATAATTGTTTATTATTTACAAAAACGCTTTGTGCTATGCTAGATAGTACTTGTAATGTGGGCCTGTAAGGTCTTAGTGAAGGTTCAACCAGGGCTGGGAGGCAATTACGTTCTCGGTAGACTTGGGTGTTAGAATCGAGGGGAGGTTTTGGGAAGTGAAAAAATGGGGACACTAAGGGCATATGAAAAACCTTGCAAATGTTGGTTGCTTACGTTATACTTGTTTAGCATTGAGGACTCTACTTAAATTAGCCTCATGCTAAACCATATGTTTCTGTATAAATAAATAAATATGAGTATAAATAAGTAAATACTTAAATAAATGAATAAAACACTTTGTACACATTAAAATGTTTCGCGGGTCATTTCGGTTGTAAATGAATAAAACTCTTTGTACACATTAAAATGTTTCTAGGGTCATTTCGGTTATGCCATTGTAATTTTGGTTTTTATCTTTTAGACAATCACTAAAGGAAAGAAATAGAAATTTTGCAGGATCTCCGACGAGACCTAATACCACTTCCACCGCTTCTCATTCATTAAAGGTAAGTCCGTATTTACAGCTAACGTATTTATTGGTTGGTTGGTTGTTTGGTTGATTGATTGGCGTGTTTCAAAACCGCGTTAAACCGCAGAAACCGGGCAATACAAGCGACAGACAGCAAGCAAGAGGGAACAGGGATCAACATATTTTGCTTCTTTACTCTCCCCCAACTATACTGGAGAATATTTTCGGCATTGTGCAATTAGTTTTAAAGGCTTTTTCTTGCCATTTGAATTTCTTTGTCACGTGGAAGAAAAAGGTTTTTCCACGTCGCTCGTGCACCGTTCGCTTTACTTAATCACTTAATGCGTTCACTGTAAACCCAGGGTCAGTCAAGGTGGATTGTAACACTGTTAAATTTGCCAACAAAATTCGCCACTGTATTTGTGGGAATGGAAAGTATTTTTTAGTGCTTTCACTTTGCAGTTTCTATTTTGATGGTGGCAGTGTTTAAAAAAAGTACTGTCCGGTACTGACCCTGGGGTTAGTGGATGTTGTT